GCCAACATGCAAAAACATTATGTTTTCATGGGACATCTATTTCTGGCAGCATCTTATAAATACTACCTTAATGCCAAAATCCACAAATAGTTACAATTAATATCACTATGGTGTAAAAATTACAGCAATTCTAAAATCTCATGCATAAAACAATAACACATAAAGACATTTGTTTTGGGTGCTTTACTAAGCAGAAAGGTTAGAGTGCTTCTCTAACCACAAACCTAGATGGGTTTGTGTTTCCTCAGTTTGCAGAGTTATCCCATTCTGACTTGTGTAGCCCCATTAAGTTACTAATACAGTCTGTGAAAAAGAAATTTTCTCTCTATGACATGTTTACCACTTATCCTCCTGCCCTTTCAAATAACATTTACTATGTTTTTACTGGTTTTCACAGCAATTTTTTTTATTAATTTGAAAAAAAAAAAAATATTAAATTTCAGAGTGTTTCCAAACCAAAATCCAGTGGCTTTCTCCCAGCCTTCTGACACTTACCACAAAAGAAATTTCCACTAAGCCAAATCACAGGAAGACTGGTTCCCACATTTCTGGCAGAGTGCCTCCATCTTTCTAGAAGCTTTCCCAATACTTGTATTTATCTCTACAGCTGTTCTCTGATCACACATCACCCCACTCAAGTCATTTAGTAACAGCAGAGCTGGCATTAAGAACCCTTGTATCCCAAATATGAGGAAGAGAAACTTTTTGTAAGAAATACCTTGCTCTAATCCCTTCTTGTACTGCCTATCCAGCACCCAGTCTGGACAGATCTCGCTAAGCTCAACACCCAACACTTCAGACATGTATCAAAACTAAGAAAGCCAACCCAGACTTTGATAGCCATATTAACATATACACAGAGGAAGATTTAAAATCTGGTAGTGCAGCACCACCTACAGGCAAAATAACATCCCTGTGAAATACGCACAAAAAAGAAAAATTAAACAGCTTACGTACAAAATGTCCTTTTTTTTACCAGCTATGGCTTGCTAAGTATTTTAAGTATTTCTAAATAAGAAGAAATAATGATTTCTCTTCTGTCCACTAATAGCTATATAAAAAAATGACCAGTTTACTGTGTAACAATTTTTATTCCAAAGAATTGGGTTCTACGTATCAAAATTCTTCTGCTTCCACACATGTAATAACAACAGAGATAAAACATACTGACCCTTAGGTCATTAAGGCCCATCCATAACATGATTATTTGACTAATTGTCTGGAGATAAGACAAAACAAAACCATGTTCTTCTTCACTCCCTATGTCAAGAAGATGTGCCCCAAGGGAAGACATTTCACAGATTTGTTGTGCCACCTTCCACGTCTTGCTCTCCTTATTCATTCGATAGCAGCTGCTTTGGAATGCCACCCACCCTTGGGAACACGTGCCTACAGGTGAACAAGGACAGGAGCTAGATAATATTCTGTGCCATTCAGGGCAGAGGTACAGTTTAAGATGCTTTATAATTACAGGGACATTTTGATGATGATAGCATTTAATTAATTCACACTTCCTTTAAAATCCTGAGTGTGACAACAACAAACTCTAATATGTACCTGTTTCAACTTGAACATCCAGTGACTGAGACATATTTATAAATTCAAGATGTAGTTGTTCAAAAATAAACTTAAACGTATACAAGGTGGCAGGTGTCAAATTACTCCATACAAAGAATCCTCCACGGCTTTTTATAACCTGAGAAGTATCATTCAGTGAAACTGAAACTGAAAATTCCTTGGTGACTGTACTCCAGTTAAAAGACACTGTAGTTGCTGTCACTGATGTTTTGATGTCATTTTCTGAAATTCCACCTAGCAAGCCAAGAAAAAGAGAAGAATACTGTCTTTAATACAAGGTAACAATCACCTCAAATTATAATTGCATCAGTATTTAGTCTTTTTTCTTTAAGAAGTGATGAGGGCTACACACACTAGGGA